ACCTAACTGAGATGATTTAAGATGTATTTGCAGCCTTCCCGTAGCCAAATTATAGCCACGACAGTATTAACATTTCTTACATAAAAATTATTATACAAATAAATACAGTATAGCCTCGATTATCCGACCCCCGATTAACCGACACTTCGGTTAACCGACCGTCCTGGTCGGAAAATTTTAAATGTCCGCTAGTGATGTGGCGCTACAATATTTGGCTATGTCTTGGCTACTTTAATATTATTTTTACATGTTTTAGCTGGCAACACTCATTCGACCATGAAAGGGAGCAAGTATTTAAACGAGTCTTAATTTTCTAATTTTTAACGATACAATAGCGACGATTATTATTTTAAAAAATTTTTGTTAGGCGTAACATCGATGAAAATTCAACGCGAAGTAGGTTAATAGCGATNGGTCGGATAATCGAGGCTCTACTGTAACACTACAATAAATTTATAATATTTATAAAATATTTTTATATTCTGCATTTCTATGCGTTTTACGTAAATAAACATATTTTTAAGAGATTATATTAATTAATAATAAACAATATTTTTTTTACAACTCAAGTTATCTTAAAAGTGTTACCATCCTGTTAAGGGGCCAGCTTATTATTTGTAGTCGTCATTTTATCGTGCATATCGATACTATTTTTATGCATGCAGAAAACTATTCTTAGTATTTTAGTAATAAATATATTTTATCCGTAGTTATATTCTGTAATTTCTACAGAGCGAAGTGTAAAGACTACAGCAGAATATCAAACGGTTCTAGGAACACTTTTGTTACTTCCGTACAATTTTTATTCACATAATTATCAACTTTATTATGTTTAATAATAGTAATAACGATAGATATATTTACCATAGAAGATTAAGAGTCTAAAAACTTTCAACAAAGTAACAAAAATAGTTGAAATTACAAAATTTTCTTCCCTCACTAACTGTTGTAAAAGAGTCGCTCCACTACGGATGACGTATATCCGGAATCTGGCAGGAAGTGGCTAAACCGGCTGTATGAGGTAACCTTATATTTTAGGACCTTGCACTTTAACCCGTTTTACAGTATTGAATGCTATGTTAAGTTCAAAGGAACTTTCCTAAATTTGTCTATCGGACTTCTGAGAAAAATTAGAAAGTGAAAGGCAATTCAATTTCAAATTTATTTTAACTTCAGATTTAAGAGTGGACGGTTCTATACTGTAGTACAGTGATTTTCAACCACTGTGCCGCGGCACTTTAGTATGCCGCGATATTTTTTAAGTGATCCGCCACTGGGAATACCCACACATAAGCGACGTCAAACAAGTAGTTCAATCGGTTCTACCATCCTAGGGAACCTTTTGAAATTGTAACCGGTGTTACCAATAACTGCCGCTAGTTACCAACGTGTTTAGATGTGACATAAATAACGAACGGCGTTTAAAGATCACTGTTGTGACGTCACCGGTTGTCCCGCGGTATTTACCGAAGTAAACGTGTGCCGCCAAATTTATAAATTATTAAAAGTGTAGCATGACGAAAAAAAGGTTGAGAATCACTCTTGTAGTACAAAAATGTTAAAGCGAACGTGTTTAAACATTACTAAAAAAATTAGTAATGCATGAAGTTGTTAAAAACTCAAATAACAACGACATTGGAATTCCTGATAGTAATTTATCAACCACAATAACAAATCACGAATCAATTTCGAAATTAGTCGATGATGCAAAACCTTCAGCATAACGTGCAATAATCTGTGTTTACGTCGATGTACTGTACAGTAGATAGAGCAGTTTTAATGTTCTTAATAAGTCTGAAACATATTACGAAGAGAGAACATTTTTTAATCGTTCTGCGCAATGAAAAATTACAATTTCTTTTTAACGAAAATGTAGTTAAACTAACTTGTATTTTAAGAAATAAATGTAAACCTCCTTAACCTCTTAAAGTTATAATTACCTTTCACTTAAATTACATGAATTAACGAAAATATTATGATAAAATAATAGCATACTTTATTTATCAGAAAGTGTGATTGTTATATAATGAAATTTCTTTATAGCGAATTCCTCCAGGATTTAAGGACTTTGTTGTGTAGAAGTTTTACTGTTATTCAGAATTTCTTGTATGTTTCATATATATTTATAGTATCAATCATTCATATAGTAGCCTAATAAAAGATTTTGAGAATAGTGGAGTTTCATTGAACGTTTAAAAAGAAGAAGACGTTTCGGAAACTTGGACAAACTAAAACAAGGGAGAGGGGAAGTAAAAATTTGAAGAAAAATGAAGACGTAATTTATGGATAGCCCTCTAACATCTCAGAACTGCGAAGCCCAGAAGTGAAAAGGCATCGAATCTACGGGATATGGGTTTGATTAATTTTAGATTTTTTTACATGTAACAGAATAATTTTATTTTAACATATTATTATTATTATTATTATTATTATCCCCTAAGTTTAAAAGTTACAAAGGATAGATTAAAAATGATCACGTCATTTCCTGTTTCGCGAAAAAGAATCTGTCTAGATTTAACTCTTTTACGTTGTTAAATCAGAAATACAAAAGTTTGTGGAACTTCCAGACTTATCAGCTAAACAATCAATTTCTACAGACCAATTTTTCGAAAACGCTTGACAAGTGGTTGCTATTAATTGAACAGGGAGCTGGTTGTGTTTAGGATTACATGTTCAACAATTTTCATTCGAATCGGATACCCGAACGTGCGGCCCTCTCCTGTATATGAATCAGTTTATTACAAACAGATGTATAGGCCGAAAACAGTTGCTTTTCCCTACGCCGATAGTCGTAAACATCACGCTGACTTTTGATGTTTAATGCAATTAAAAAATTCCAAAAATTCGATTAATTCGCGTTTAATTCGATTTTGCAGCGATTTAAGCTCTTCTGTAGATCGATTGACTTTGTTTCAGCCAAAAAGTGTTTTTTTACCACTTCCGGGCCATAAATATTACGGTAAATACACCCCCTACCATCCTACAGCAAATATACGCAGTTAACTACATAATTGGCTAAAAACAATCAAACGGAAACTCCTTCTAAACGTTAATTGGCTATCTTCTGTCTTTGTTGACATTACTTTAACCAATCACACACTATAAATCGCCGCTGAAAGCCCCGCCTTCGACATTCGAAGTAAAATGTAAATAATCGCTAGAAATTCGCTTTTTTAATCCGTGTTTTAGCTCTAATTAGTTAATTTAACGTTCTTAGACAGTATTTAGGCGAGTAATCTTTATTTTGGGCCGTGAAGCTGTAAATTTTCCGGGAAAGTCGACTCCCCCGTGCCGTTATGTAATACGAGAAAATATGTAAATAATCGCTTGCAAAATTGCGTATTATAGTCGAATATTGTAAAAATAGTTTTAAAAAAAAACATAAAAATAATGTATAATATACATTATCTGGAAGAAAACTTTTGTGTTAACTTCGACCCTCAGATGACTCATCTACTCTTTTTCCAAAAGAGTAATTAGAGACGTAGTGTAATTAATGGCAATAAATTCCTCCTGCTCTTTCTAGAACACTGCGGTTTGTTTTGTTTACATTTTTAAAAAGACAGATGTGTGGTGAGTAAAGTACAAAATTCATCAATCTGTTTAAATTAATTATTATTATTATTTTTTTGAAAAGTTTAAAATTTAAGTATTATTTTAAATTGGTATTATACAGAAAATTGAACATTCGTAATCTGTAATTTGTTTGTAATTAAAAACAGGAAGTAGATTGAATCTAACGCGATTTTCGAGTGAGATATCGTAATTTAAAAAATTACAGTAATACCTCGACTTACGCTATTCCGACTTACGCAAACCCGGAGTTACGCGACTTTCAAATCTCGTCGATTCGTCTTTTGTTTGAGCGCCACGCAATCCTTGATTACTCACTCCCCCCACACTATTGTTCGGCTTACATGTTCGGATGTGTCGCGCGGAATCCACACATAGCTACAATTTATTTTGTGCTATTTATTTCTGTGTTTGTTATATCTACGGAGACTCGAGAGACTCTACTATGTCATCCAAACGAAGTAGAACTAATTCTTCTGCATCAAACAAGAAAAGAAAAATTTTATCTTTGGAATGTAAAGTTAACATTGGGTATGTTCGTAAATTCAAACGAGTTAAACAAAAATGAAGTCATCGTTATTCCTATTTCGTTAGACTTTTCGAACGATTCGTTACTAACGCGTTTAACTCGTTAGACTTTACGAACATACCCATTATTAAAGACTTCGAAACAGAAATGGAAATTTGTGAATTGGCAAAGAAGTTTGATCTACCGGAATCGTCGGTCAGAACAATTATAAAAGGCAAAGAAAAAATTCTCGAAGGTGTGAAAAATGCTCAATCTTTAAATTCAAGCATCATTCGTAAACGTCACAGTATTATCGCTGAGATGGAAACAATGTTAAAATTATGGCGTAATAATCAAGTAAATTTGAAAAATTCTAAAATAATATAGGCCTAATTTGTTATACATACGTATTGTCTAAGATTTTATTAGACATTTTTTTCTAAATTATTGTTTTCTTTAGTCTTCATATGCGAAATTATACCCTGACTTACGCGGTTACCGCTCGGTCCCACCTATCGCGTAAGTTCGGGGTATTACTGTATCATAAAATTCATTTTTTGTTTGTTTATTTTTTTAAAGCCCATCCCAGTAAAGGTTAACATATCCGACTTTCGGCTGTACTGTACGTGGATATGTTATGTAAATTTCTTGAATGTCACCAACTTTTTAATATTTTCTTAAAGATTTAGAATTTTAAAAATCTTTCCCTATCCCATCGAAGTGGACCCTATTTTTTAAATGCAGGGAAACTTCCTTAATTATGGGTCCAATCGTTGAGAGGTTTCCTTTTTGTTAAGGAATTTATTCCTGGAAAAGATTTAGACCACGTGTGGAAACGAAACAAAAGAAACACAAGTATTGGATTGGACTGGTCAAAGCACTCGCCTTGTGTGGACAAATACAGTACTATTTTTGTTTTTCTAGGTTAAAGAAGACTCTCGAATAAAGAAAAATGGAATTTATCTTTTCTAGTAAATAAAAATGAAGAAAAAAGAAGGAACTTCCGAATAAAAAAAGCTAAAATTACAGTGAAAGAATCTTCGAAAGCGAGGTAAAAAGGGACGAACTCGAAACACGTTTTGTAAGTAGTCGCGATTTCCTTATCTTTTACATCCATAATTCTAGTAATTAGTTCTAACAGTTAGACAGAGTCATGAAGCAAAGTTTAATATTCTATAGATTTAATATTTACCTCATCAACACTAAAAACTGAAATATCGTCCATAATTCTGTGAGATATTTATATTTTATTCAGACTTAATTGCATTTATTTATTTTTTATCGTCTAATTAGTCAATTTATATTTAACTTTTTAAAAGCTTTGAGAATAAGAAAACAATAAATGTCATATTGTTCATTTAAAATTATCGACTACATTTAAATTAAACGAATTTAGTACATAAAAATTATCTTAAATTAGATAAATACTAGAAATTCCCCCATCAAGCATGATTGAATGCTTTTGATGAGAAGGTAGATATTGAAGCTAATGGATTCGTTGGATCGTTATTACTTATTGGATTATAGAACGTCACAGGGTCACGCCGAAAATATTTTATTTTTTAAATTTCTTATAGAAGTGATACAATGCGGCTATGTCTTTTTAAGGTTTAAATTTTAAATTTAATAAAGTAAGTTTAAAATAGACCATCTTCAAAAATATTTAAAAGTGTAACCAAACGCAAATCCCTTGTTAAGCTTGAACAAAATGAGGTCACTGACGTCACTGCAACGGAAGTGCTATCGCCTATCCCAAATCGATAAAACGTTTATTCTATAGCTAATATTTTCCGCAAAATAGATAGCCTGTATTTTCCGCCTGAACATAAAACGAATATAATCAAAATTTCATCTGGAGGTGCGTGAAAAAAGTTTCTCTGTTATTATTGACGTCCTTTTCTTTACTTTCAACCTTGTGTAGTTCTGACCTTGATAACAGTTCGAAGTCATTGTTACGAATGGACATAAATGTAGACCTAATGACGTCATAGAAGCGGTGTATGGACTAAACGGAATACATTATAGTGTTATATTTTTGTGATAATCATTTAAATTGATACCTTTTTTCTACTTTAAAAAAATGTATTTTTTTGTATATACGAATGTTCGTGTGAATATGTGTGGGGCAAGATTTCGTTTACCCTGTTTGAACTTTAATAATTCCTTTGCTTTCTCTAGAAATTTTTTGAAGTTTTCAGGTAGGTTTGTGTATTAGCTTTGATTCTATACAATTTTGGTCTTTAAAACGGGGGTCGTGTTATATCTCCAGTAGAATGAACGGTAAGAATCAAGTGTTGCCTAAAGGGGGCGGGAACCCCCCACAGTGTCGACCCCCCTGTGCGATCAAATAATGTCTAATGAACCATACCCCTACGGGCGACACATACAAAATACATCGGTGAAAGACCGAATATTTGGTTATATTATTATACATTCGAACAATTGCCGGTGTATGTCGACAAGCACAGATAAGCTTTGGTGGAAGTCGAAACGACACCCGAGAAGCCAATGTCGAAAGAGAGGCGACAGTCTGTCGCCAAATCCTTTGTGGATAGTCGGAGGTAGGACACGGTCGTACCTCTTTTTCCGGCAACGGTTAGGTGGAAACTGCCCATTTTGTCACTGGATGGCGTTTTTGTTCTTTTGATCCCGTGTAGTGGGGATCTGTTTGTCAAGTCAAGTGGTAGAGGATGAGAGAAGTTGTCGTTTATACTACGTTCGCACACAATCCACGACTCACTTCGATCTCGATTTACCTACAAACTGGATTGTGACTGTCGCTAGTCGAACGTCGTGCTGTTCGCACAGGCAGTCCGCTCGAGAAGAACCTGGCTATTACACGCGATCATAAAACTGACGTAACTACACGGTAAGTCACAAACACCAACAAACAAAATGGAAGTTTTGGTTATAAATAAATACTTTTTATTGCCATACATATAATAATAGACAGATATCGTCGTCTCTCCAGATGTCTTTTTTATTTCTCTGTCGATAGCCCGACACGTGTTCCGCAGCCATCTTGTATTTTCTCGCGCGCGTGGGATTGTGGGATCTCCCTTATGACTGGATATAGTTTCGAGAACTCTCTCCAGTCGATCGAGATTGAAACGGTCAAGAGCGTTCGCACCACGGAACACTCTCCGACCTTAGTCATAATCTAGATCGAAATGCTCGGTGCGAACGGGGTATTAGGCGTCGGTGATATCCGAATAAAAGACACCATTAACAGATTCGTCCGTAATCGCGTAGTAACGTAATCAGTTCGTAATTTGTAAAAAAAAGTTACTTTCCATATTTGAGATTTCTTCTCAAGAAATGTCGCTGAGAGAAGCAGCTGCAGCTAATTCGAAAAATAGAGGGCAAGGCTATACACGCTGTCATTGCAAAAAGAAGTGTTCCACGAATAAATGCAGTTATAAAAGCAAAGGACTCTTGTGCAATTCAAAGTTCAATTCAATTCACAATATTTTAAGTTGTTGCAATAAATAAGATTGTATAACGTTAATCACATAATTTATGTGTAAGTTTATTATCGTATTATTTTCTTTTGTGATTAAGAATGGTTTTAGGTTCAACAGTTTATTTACATGTGCTGTTACTTAATTAATTAAGCTTTCTCCTATTTTGACATATTAAAAGTTGCATTTTTGTCTTAATGTAATAAAAATACTTTTATTCAACGTTCACCATCAGTGCATACTGAATGTCGACATTTGCCGGTGTAAGTGAGAAACAATGATATTTAGCAAATATTTCGTACATACACGAAACGACTGTGAATGCTGACATTCACCTGAGAATGATGACATTCGCCAGATATCGGTCATTCACAGTAACATATATATAAAATTCAATCCTATTTTAAAAATTAAGCTTTTTGCAATTTTATAATTAAAAACTTTTTATAACAGGTGGCGGCACACACGCAGATTTAAATGCTGCTGGGTAAGTTAAGCAACTCGTTGCTGAATTTTTTAATGAATTAATTAAAAATGCTTTCAATAACTTTTATTAATATGATTATAGTTGAGGTTCGAATACCAGAGTGATTTTTGAAAAATTTATTCTAATTTAACTAAATGTGTACACTGTAAATATTATACAACTTCTCTTTATTTATTTATTTTAAAAGATTTAGCGTAGAAATTAGAAACTTTAATTACTGTAGAATATACATTGAATATGAATTTGTGTGATATTTAAGTGTTTTATTTTTCCATTTAGCTAATTTTCACCCTCAAAATACAGAAAACAATCTACAAAAAAAAAGGAATGAAATTCAATCCTGCAAGAATGAATTCCACAGTTTACGCTAAAAAAAATTTGTATTTTACAGACTTGAACGTTTTGAAATTTTTTTTTATACGAAACGTGTTATAAAGGAAGTATCCTTTTTATTTGAATCGGACATATTATACAATTCTACATTTAACAATACGAATATGAATAAAATATTCTAAAGTTAAAAGGTCATATAAAATAAATTTTATAAAATTTAATTTAATAAGTGTTGTTTACTTTCAGCTGTTCTTTGGGTGAAACACAAAGTTCGGAAGAAAATATTGTATATTAGATACGGTTTTACTTACACCGATGCTCGTCATTTTAAAATACAATCGAAGAAGCAGGAGAGAGATCCATTCCTTCGATATGGAAATAATGATCAATGGAGAAGCATGAAGATATACAAATACTTTGAAAATATTTTATAGAAATTGTTTACTTTAATATGTTATCCATGATTAGCTGTTGATTAACAATATGATATATTTATACTCGAACTTTATCGTCTAAAAAATTACTTATTGTGTTTTGATGCAGAAATCTACTTTTAGATATAAGAATGTTTGTTTATTTTTAGTTAAATAGTATTAGTGTTTAATTATTGTTCGTATTAAAGAAAATTGATTGACTATACATAGATAAAATATTATTTAAGACAATTTTTTTAATTGCAGATAAAAGGAACGGAAAGAAATTTTCATGTAAATACTGTAAGAACAACTTCACAACTAAACGTAATTTGCAACGTCATGAAAAAATACATACAGAAGAAAAGCCATATACTTGTGATGAGTGTAAACAGAAATTTAGAGAAAAAGGAAAGTTAATTATACATTTTCGGACCCACACTGGAGAAAAGCCTTATACTTGCGACGAGTGTAAACAGAAGTTCAGAGAAAGAAAAACCTTAATTAATCATATTCGCACCCACACTGGAGAAAAGCCTTACACTTGTGACCAGTGTAAACAGAAGTTCAGAGAAAGAAAAACCTTAATTAATCATATTCGCACCCACACTGGAGAAAAGCCTTACACTTGTGACCAGTGTAAACAGAAGTTCAGAGAAAGAAAAACCTTAATTAATCATATTCGCACCCACACTGGAGAAAAGCCTTACACTTGTGACCAGTGTAAACAGAAGTTCAGAGAAAGAAAAACCTTAATTAATCATATTCGCACCCACACTGGAGAAAAGCCTTACACTTGTGACCAGTGTAAACAGAAGTTCAGAGAAAGAAAAACCTTAATTAATCATATTCGCACCCACACTGGAGAAAAGCCTTACACTTGTGACCAGTGTAAACAGAAGTTTACAGTAAAAGGAAACTTAATTGCACATCTTCGTACCCACACTGGAGAAAAGCCTTACACTTGTGACCAGTGTAAACAGAAGTTTACAGTAAAAGGAAACTTAATTGCACATCTTCGTACCCACACTGGAGAAAAGCCTTACACTTGTGACCAGTGTAAACAGAAGTTTACAGTAAAAGGAAACTTAATTGCACATCTTCGTACCCACACTGGAGAAAAGCCTTACACTTGTGACCAGTGTAAACAGAAGTTTACAGTAAAAGGAAACTTAATTGCACATCTTCGTACCCACACTGGAGAAAAGCCTTACACTTGTGATGAGTGTAAAAAGAAGTTTTCACGAAAGTCGAATTTAGTTGCACATATTCGCACCCACACTGAAAGAAAAGCCGTACAATTGTGAGGAATGTAAACAGAAGTTTTCACAAAAGTAAAGCTTAAACAAACTTCGGATTCACTCCGGAGAAAAACCGTATGAATGTCAATTATGTCCAGAGAAATTCATTCGAAATACGGACCTAAAAAAACATTTACAATATTCACAAGTTAGAAACAATTTTTCTTCAAAACTTATAATTTCTATTATGTATAACGATCAAAAGGTTTAAATAAAACTGGTTTAAAATTAAAATCATTTGTTAATTTTGTTTAATTTCCTAAAAGCATCACAATATTCATATTCAGATGTAACTTTTTTTTAATTTTATAATTCTATTAAAAAAAAATAACTTTTTTGTTAATTTACAGAACTCGATATTTATTAGCAAATGACTTTAAAACAAAATTTATAGTTTTTGATTTTGCAGAAATTTTCTATTTGAAAGTTCAGTTCGGAATCTGAAATGAAAATTCTGTATGTTTACTCGTTTGTTTCGATAAGATGTGTTGTAACCTTTTTTTTATCTGACCGCACGCTTGAACCTATAATTAAATTTTCGCAGAAAAAGTCACGTGATTTAAAGTTTACTTTGTAAAGCTTTTTTTCCATAATACTTGCCACTTAGCATAATATATTTGTTTGTACTTTCAGTGAATTAAAACAGTATTGTTACTTTAAAAAGCAGCAGGTTACAATAATAGTTATTTTCATTTACAGACGAAAAGCAATTTACCTACTATTTCACCACAGACGATTAGACAAATCGCAGGATCAACAACTATTTTAAATACAGGATTACCAGTGGTGTGCCCTGACATTTGATGATAGGGGAACTGTGTTTCTGTAAGAAGCCGACTTCCAGGGGCAATCAGTTAATTGAGCGTCAGTGATGGTCTAGGTCTAGGACAGTGTTCCGCAACCGGTGTGGCGTCACATTGTGAAAGGTGTGACGTGAACTTTTACATATTCTGTTAATTTCAAGTTTTATTTATATATTTATATCATAGTTGTGTTTCTTATTCTTGTATTTTATTCTCTACCGCAGCACTGATGAAATAAAATGATGTTTGTTTATTCTTTATTACAAGCCACGCATTTTTATGTATTCTAAGAAATTACATGTAAAATAAATTTGCCCAAATGTGTTGGTCTCTGTTTAATAACAACAATAATAGGTTAATGGCATTACGTAATTTTATTAATAGTATCATATCATACGTTTTTGAGGGGAATAACATTTTGGTGTGCCCTGTTGAGTCATGGGTTTGCCGCCAGTAGTAAAAGGTTGCGGAACACTGGTCTAGGCTCCATTCGTATTCGTTTTGTTCGATAAGCCAGTAAAAACCGAAAATTTCTCTAAATGTATTTTTAATATCAAAATTACATACTGAATCGCTAGCCACGATATAATGGCTACAATTAAAAATAAAATATAAAAACTTACTTGGTGAAATAAAATGTGTTGTGAATATACATAACGTGGTATTGTATAAAATATTCTTCAAATGTATGAATATACTTTTAACTAGTATACCTCAAAGGATGCCACAGGTTTGTTGTAAACTTTAATTAAATATTTCTCACCATAGCTGTAAAAATCTACATATATTAACGGACAATCTACTTAGTATTAAGTTTATTTGTTTTCTAATTAATTCGTTTTAGGACCAGGTGTCCACAGAAATTTCTAAAATTTACAACTTTTCAGTCACTGTCATTGAACTGGAAATATTTGTCTTTATTATATCTAATATTACGAAGAAATCAGTCCCCACTGTACTCGGCTAGAGATTGGTTCGGTTAAGTTGTTTAAGTAAAATTCCGGCTCTTTCAGCACGGTTTTATTTATGTTCCTAATTCCCTAATCTCTTAATAATTTAGCTAGGCCTACTTGTTAAGTTGAAACCGGGTAATTACTTCGTACTTTAATATTTGTAGTTTCCGGAAAAAAGTGGAAAGACAAATTTTTATGACAACGGATACATAAATCGTAAATTTAAGGAAAATAAATTCTAGCGCTTTATTTGTACTGTACCATGTGCGTCTCATTCATTAAATTTAGTTGTAAATGATGCTGTCAAAGTAACAGTTAATTTTTTAACATTGTGCACGTTTATTTCTACATCCCCTCATAGATGGGACATGCTAAATCGTAATATCACTAGTTTAACATTGAAATCTGTAAAGTCTGGACTTCACATTACCTGAAAACAGAACTGAAACATAGAGTTTTCGTTTTGACTTGACTCCACTAGAAATGCATTATCTGTTGATCAGTTCTGTAATTGTCGTAGAGTCAATCATGGAGGACGCTACGGATTTTGCCATGTTTTCTCTGCATTTATTAACAATTGCCGTTGAAAATTTACATATTATACTTACAATAACATCAATGAAACAACAGAATATTCCTAATTATCAATAATATATTCACATCATATGTTTGTGGGGCCTGTTTCACCAATATAAAATTTTGGTTCAATACATATAGATTCTAACTTATATACAGTGCCTTCTTTTTCAAAATCGTTTCTTTCTTTTATATTGTAATTTTCTTACATATATTTTGTGATATTTTATTTGTCAGAGACGGGGCCAAACATAGCCTATATTATTCTGTTTAAGAATAGAGTTACATTTTTCAAACATATTCCCTCATATATGTAGGAAAAGGTATTGAGATTGAGAATTATAGAAATGACAATAAACTTCCAGAGTTCGTAACCGTCTTGACAGAAAAATAATGCTCTCCCTTCGTAACGCCTTTTGTTTCCTTTTTACTTTCCACTTTTGCGTCGTCACCCACCGTCCTCTTGTTTACTACTGTCCCTTACTTGGCACTCCCTCCTTCTCGCTTCTCCCCTCACTTGACTCTCCCTAGTTCTCCTCGCCTCCCCACGCAACCCCTCGTAAATTTATTGCCTTAATGGTTTACTTGTCTAAACCCCACATATATAAAAAAATAATATACATTATCTGGTTTATATTGTTTCGTACTATATGCCTATCTATTATCAAAGTATTGTTCGTGCCATTTTTTTAATTTTAATTTTGGATAATCATTAAGAATTAATTTTCTATTTAAATTTTTTAACTTTATTTCTGTATCTTTAACATTTGACATTCTAATATATACAGTAAATATTTTTAAATTCCATAATATAAGCATTCTTTTTCATACTTTCTAGAAAATACAATATGATTTATAATTAATAGTTTTCTCTACATTACAAAATTTCATATACAGTAAGTGAGGAAAGTAAATTTATCTAATCCACTATGGTTATATATAAATTTAATTTTTTTTCTGTTTTTACATTTCCATATCACTATTAATTTTATTTACATACTTAAAAAGAGTTATTTCATTTATTACTTTCTCATCATATATTATTAGATAATCATCTGCGAATCAAACACAATTTAGGGGAGATCCTTGTACCTTGGGACACCTTCTAATTCGGGACAAGGTCGTCATTTGAAAAATAATACATTGAGAAGTAGTAAATAGCGATATCTAGTAGCTATTTCATTACAACGTTCAGAATGCATAACGTAAAGTCGGCCATTTTGACTCGGTTCACCACTGAGACACGTCGTGTGATTTTTATAGGTGTTTGTTTTAATTAAATTAAATTTTAAAGTTTAAATTTAATTAATTAACGAATTTAGTACATAAAAATAAGCTTAAATTATATAAATACTAGACCTTCCCCCTGTCAAGCATGACTGAATGCTTTTGATGAGAAAGTATATATTGAAGCTAACGGGTTCGTTGGATAGTTACTTCTTATTGGACTATAGAACGTCACGAGGTCACGTTGGAAATATTTTATTATTTTAATTTCTTATAGAAGTGACACAATGTGACTATGTCTTTTTAAAATTTAAATTTTAAATTTAATAAAGTAAGTTTAAAACAGGGCTTTTTCCAAAATATTTAAAAGTGTAACAAAAGGCCCTTGTTAAGCTGGAACAAAATGGGGTCACTAACGTCACTATAACCGAAGTGCTATCAACGATCCCAAATCGATAAAAAGTTTATTCTATAGCTAATATTTCTGCAAAATAAATAGCCTATATCATTCCCCTGAACAAATATAATCAAAATTTCATCTATATTGGACAAAAATAGCAGGAGTTATAAGGAATTCACAGACACAAAACGACGGCTTTTATATTAGTAAACAAATCAACCTGTGTTTCTAAATATAAAAAATAATAAATTGTTTTAGATATTGGATTATATAGTAATTTTATAAGTTTCATTGTAGATGTTACTTTTAGCTTACATTATTTAGATCTATACTGTAGTTTTATGTACTGTACAGTACAGTACAATGTATAAGGGTTGTCTAAAAGTCACCTCTACCTCAATATACTGTACGAAACATATCTTTATTATAATTTAGATTTATTTTTACATACGCTATCCAAATATATTAATATTTTCGAAAAGGACTGTTTACTTTATACACGGAAAATACGGGTGCGTCAAAAAAGTTTCTCTGTTATTATCGACGCCCTCCTCTTTATTTCCAATCTTGTCTAGTTCTGACCTTGATAACAGTTCGGGGTCATTGTTACCAAGGTACCTAAATGTAGACTTAATGACATCATAGAAGGGGTGTGTGGGCTAAACCGAATACGATATAGTGTTATATTTTTCTGATAATCATTCAAATTGATACCTTTTTTCTACTTTAAAAAAAATGTATTTTTCTGTATATACGAATGTTCGTATGGTTACGTGCGGGGCAAGTTTTTGTTCACCTTGTTTGAAGTTTAATAATTCCTTTGCTTTCTGTAGAAATTTTTTTGAAATTTTCAGGTAGGTTTGTGTGTTAGAAGCTTTGATTCTATGCAGTTTTGGTCTTTAAAACGGGAGTCATGTTATATCTCCAGTAGAATCAAACTTAATGACGATTTCACTAGTTATTAGCATTTACAATTTTTTTTTTTTTTTATAAAACCCA